AATATAAAATTTCTGCTTCCCTGACATGTTCAGGAGGACAAATGTGGACCCTTCATCATTACCTACCCTAGGGGAGGGAGAGAGACGGAAGGAGGTAAAGGTACAGTTGCTGGCCATGGCATTTGTGCAAAGATGCCTGACATTTGAGAATTTCTTGGCAGCGAAGATATTGCTGAAGAATGATGAGACACAAACGGCCATTGGGGACTGTGATTTTGTCATGCCACTTTCCTCTTTTTGTAGTTTCTTCCTTCCCATGGAAGTCACATCTTTTCATTGTTGCATCACCAGTTTCCTTTTTCATTGAACACCAGAACTTCTTTTGAGTGGAAAAGCTTCACAGAGCAGTGCTTTCTCCATTTCTTGGGGGATTTATATTTTTCGTACTTTGGTGCAACATGGTTCAAATAATGTATATGCTTACGAAGATCTTTAGGTGTCATTAGATGAGTGGCTTATCCAATTGGAAGACTACCAATCTTTTATTAAGAAAAAATGTAAGGGGTTTTATTTTTAGCCTTTGTCAACTGGCCATATCCTTCTGAACTTAACTTTTCTTCCTGTTGATCTTATTCCAGAAAATTGTAGCATTGCTTTTAATTGTGGTTTTATGTTTCACAATCTCATTCTAATATGGGACATTTTGTTTTAATATAGATAGAAATCATCCCTAATATATTAAACCATTTGAATTTATAGAATCTTAGAGCAGGAAAGAGACTCAAAAGCCCATATAGTTTACTCATCCTATGTTTGAAGAATTTGTCCCTGATCAGTTACTGCTGGCATGAATGGAAGCTGAATTTCTTGTGCTGTTACTAATTTGTTTAGAAAAGCAATGTTTCTGATCTTAATTCTCAAGGTTTTTCATCTTTCTCTGCCTCTTAGTGGCCTAGAAAGAAAAACTGTAATTCATTCTGCAAAAATAATGCAGAGGTTGATGGAAAAGGACTGGTGATCCATTTAAGTCAACAATAATTCCAGCTGGAAGTTATGTAGAACAAAGCAAAAATCTGCTTAGGATCTGTTTTTCGTCCCAAAGCCTTTACTAGACAGAATTATTTTTTAAACTAATTTATTATTCCAGAAACATATGCATTTTTGCAAATGAATGCCTGACCCCTTAGCTGACACCTTGCAACTTGGAGACATTATCCTTACTTTTTCACTGGCTTTCTTGCCTTGACAATCTCTGCCATAGTCGTTTGTCCTTTAGTTATCCAAGCAAAGCTTTGGGGTTGAAAAGTTCCTCCCCATGGTCTGCTTTCTTATAGTCCATGGTCATATTCTGAACTGCCCTGCAAATTCCTTCTTGTTTGTTATTCAAGGTTAAGTAAATTCCTACACTGGGGATTTTTAACGTATTTAATATAATTAAATATAAATAATCCTCACAAACATGGATTCTCCTAACTTGTTTTTTTTACAGATTTTAATCTACACTAAAAATTTTGTTAAAATCTTCAGCTTCTATGAAATAATAACTGAGAAGATAACCCAAAGATTATGTCTAATTGACATATATGATATTAACCAGCTTTATATCCAATATGATTTTTTTTTTTAGGTTTTGGGATCTTTTATTTGTTTTGGGGTGGAGTTGCTGATACACACCTATATGTAATATGTATCAGTGTTTCATTTCATGACTTTCTTTGAAATGGCTTGACATCTTCCTGGTTTCCTCATTAATGAAGCATATAAAACTTTTGACACATGTTCTTTGCAATGTTGCAAAGTATAACTTGACCTTATTTATAATATCCTCATTTGAGAATAGCAAATACATTGCTTGTGTACCCCACTTTTCTGTCCTGCACCCATGACAGACAACAAAATTAATGACAAACATGGTTCAGAATCTTTCTCAACACAGGTGCCCAGAAGGCACTACAGGCAATAAATGGGAATCAGTGTTAAAGTTAAAATTAATTTGTCATCCTTGCCATATCGGCATATGTTTTGTTTTAATTGCTTTTAAAAGTTTCTGATCACACTAAAGGATATTTATTCCTGCAAGATAACAGACATAAACTGACAGCCTCAGGGTCAAATCTAGCACCAAATAGAGGTATGCTGGTCACATAGTATTTTATTGCTGTTATATGAATATCTTTAAAAGGAATGTATGAGTTCTCCATGTCCCACTTATGAAACACTTGTGAGTTTTTCACATCCACAGTTCGGGAGTGCACACATTATTACAGCAGTCACATTACTTTCCTTTGCTGGCCCCTAAAGACACTTGCATTTACTGCTTCTCCTCTGAGGAACAGTTGTAGTTAGAGATTGAGTTGTGTAGAAAATTGTCATTTGCATAGGTTATAAATGCAAAATATTAACAATTTCATATGATTGGACCTAATCAGATAAAAGAATCAAAATTATGCTATGCCTGGTGATCTTGCCATTTCAAAACAATTTATTTTCTATTTTGAATCACTAATCAGTGACAAGAAGTGCTGATTTAACACCCATTGTGCACAAAACATCATGGTAGAGTCCAGGGATGACAAAGACATAAATGCACACCCTGATTTGGAGGAGTTCATGCCTGGTTCTCATCAAGGTGTGAACGCTCTTGTTTTCTATTAGATGCTGAGCTTTTTGAAGGTAGAGCATGTCCTTTACTTTGCCATATTTTTCTGTGTGTTTGTCACATGGCAGACAGTCAATAAATTTTTGTTCATGAACAGAAGGTAATGAAAGAGGGAAGGAAGGGCAAGGGAGGGAGAAGTGGACACTAGTTTGGGAAGAAGCTGATAAGATGAACTTGTTTGCAGAAAAAAAAGGAAGACTACAAATAAATTAGGTGTTTCTCAATGTCTAAATGAGTTTTATGCTCCAAAATATCTTTAAAGCCATTTATTGAAATAGCTTTGGTCCAAGGGGCATTGATTTTGGTTTGTTTCTAAAAAGTCAAAGACAGCCTGAATGATATATGCATTCTACTATAAATGAATTTTTAAGAGAAGGCTTCAAAGTCAGTGACCAAAGTGTCCTCATCAGTAACTGCATGATTAGAACAATCACTTTGTTATCTGATAGCTGTTTGGTTATTCAGAGGTATAAACTATGGCATCTATTACAAACTGATCATACAAAAATACCAGTGTGAGGATCTTTATGTCATATTCTTTATTTCTAATGCAAGAGACCTTTTTAACGCTTTTTTCCTTTTGTCATTATTGAAATGATGAAGGTTTATATTAGAGGTGATTTTTAAGGAGTTCATAGTCAAAATAATTATTCCTATTTAAGTTTGCTTAGGAATACTTCTTTTTATAAAATTCAGCTCCACTTATCGAGAGCCAGTAACCAACTTTCTTTCTTTTTATCTATTTATTCCTGGAAAATCTTAAAGGCAATTTAACTATAATGTTGCCAGAATTGGAAAAGGTACTCATCAGTTATTTTGAGAAATGTATTGATGTAAAAATAGTTTAAAATACCCAATGCTGGTCTTATTTACAGATGACACACCTCTTACCATTCAAGAAAATAATGCTCAAATCAATTAAAATTAGAACATCGTGTTTTCGTCTGTGAGTTCAGTGTAGAGATAAAGAGGAGGAAAACCATTGGTGAAAGAGTAAATTGCTATAACTTTAGCAGAAAGCAAATTATCGGTACTAAAAGCCTTAAAAATATGCATAGTTTTTAAACCAATAATTTATTTCTGAAGATGCATGCTAAAGAAATAATTAAGAGTTTGTACACAAAGATTTAACTACCAGAGTGTTCAATATAATGTCATTTATACTAGTGAAAAATTAGAGACAACTTTAATGTCCATGATAATGGAATATTACTTTGTCATGTTGTGGTTATTTATTTTATAATATATAAAACATAAATATTATATATTACATGATAATATTCATAATATGTTGTTTAGTTAATACAAAGGTTACTATGTCACATATGTAGCATCTTCATAAAAGAATTATACATGAATTATACATACCTTTCTTTTTTTCCTGTAAGCATATACACCAAGATTTTAGCAGTAGATATCTCTGAAGAAGAGTTAGGTATGTTCAGAAAAGGTTTATTTTTCTTCTCTGCTCATCTTATTTTCTAACTTTTCTCCAGTGGAAATATATCAGTCTGATGTTAATATAAAACCGTGTCAACCAGAAAAAAGAAACGCTACCATCCAGAATGTATCAACAAGGTCTTTACTACTTATACATGTGCTGGGTTATTTTTTTTTTTTTGAGACTGTTCATCAAGGCTCAAGAAACAAACTGGTGATGGACCAAAGGAATCTAGATGTGTCCCATAAAGATTGTTACTATAAAGATAAGGAGTGATCTCAAATCAGGCATTTACCACCTCAGAAAAGTTACAGCAAAAGAAATATTCTAAATAGATAGACTCTGAGTAAACTCAGTAAAATATGAGCCACATTTCTTCATTTGAAGTAAAGTCATTCTAAATAAGAAATTTTATGACCTCTTTTATGAGCATTTAATGTTTTATTCCTAGTAGAGACTCATTTGTGTTCATCTTTAGTTTCTGTCTCAGAGAGAAAAGTCATTATTTGTAAACACTTGCACTTCATTTTAAATAATAAAACCACTTGTGAATAACAGTTTTGATTATAAAAGTAACATACTCAGAATAGAAAATTCAGAACCTCACCCCTGATTCTATCACCTAGGGTTAAGCATTGATAATATTTTTGTGTCCATCCGTAAAGTCGATAACAATTCTTACATTTCAAAACAGGAGACTGGTGTTTAGAGTTCAATTTTCCAAAATTTGGTGAGGCTCACATAACTACTTTTTTCTGTTATCTGTGGCATTTGGAGATAATTGTAGTGAACTAGCATGATCTTAGACTATAGTTTATCCACACTAAAATGCCATTCTGGCTACTATCTTTTCCTTGAATGCTACCAGTGTTTCCTGGGGGTAAAAAATGAAAGCAACAGGATACCCGCAACCATAAAGAGCATATACTCACAGTCCTCCTAACTCTTCACTTCCTCCAGGACAGATATCAGTGGATGGATTTATGCGCTATCTGAGTGGAGAAGAAAATGGAGTTGTTTCACCTGAGAAACTGGATTTGAATGAAGATATGTCTCAGCCCCTTTCTCACTATTTCATTAATTCCTCACACAACACCTACCTCACAGGTATGGATTTATAATTCTTTGACAATTACTGTAGCCTATCTCACCAAATTTCATCAACCTCTACTTTCTGTTGTCCAGAAGGGAAGGCACATTTTCTTTAATTTCCTCTGAAATGCCTCTGAGAACTGGAATTCCAGGACCAAAGACTCTGTCCATAGGCAGCAATATCATTTCTTCACATCGTATCTCTTCCTAAGTTTTCAACTCTTCTATAACATATCCATGTCAGCTGTTTTCAGACCAATGGTATTTTTGTGTAACTGAACTCGTTTTTCAGTGGACTGAAGCCATTTACAATCCTGCCCAGTTCTCTGGATGATTTTCACCTATAGAAACAGTTCTGAAGTCCTAAATAACTTCTGCTCAAGGCAAATTGCTAATTTTGCTCAAGGGTAGAACAGGGCTTTAGACATAAACAAATTGACAACCTATATCTCATTGTAAACATTATAATAAGTGGGGAAAAACCACCAGTGTGTTTCCTAATTTCATCCTAAATTGAGCATTGCCATGGTTTTTAGTAGATTATTAATGAGAAACATATTAAAACATATATATATATATATATGTTAGGTCAACACAGTTAAAAATTAAGATTTGTAGTAAATACAGATTTTAATAAGCAAAGATGTTTCTTAATGAAAATACATTTCTTGTAGAATACTTTCTGTATGGAAGATACCTAATTATCAGCCTTTGTAAAATTCTATGGGTTAAAAAACAAAATGCTTTTTAAAAACTGTGTCACTCTCCAGCTTCACACAATCCATCACCGAAATAGATATAAGATAGCCTGAACTTAAGACCCACAATACAACCAAAGTCTGGGATCCCATTTGGTATCTCTGAGCTGTAGATGCTTGCCCTACTTTGAGGGAGGTTTTGATGTGCTAGTGGCTCATTGCCTAGGGACTGTGTGGTGTCTGTTGCAGGGTAACCCAGCAGCGCTGTACACATAATGACAAAGGAGATCCAGGTCCTGGATAGGACATTCATGGGGGGTGTCCAAGAGATTAGCACAGGGTTCAACCATTCTTCCTTCTGAATTCCTTAAAGAGAATTGACAAATAAAGAACATTATTGACAAATAAAGAACACAACCACTATTTTTTTGATGCTCAAATGCTCAGCTTTGGTCAGTGGAAACATTGTTTAGCTTGACTTCTCTACTCTTTTGACATAACCCCCTGATCTTTGAAAACGTCCTTCCTGCCTGGCCATAAAGATCTCCCAGGCTTACCTTATTCTTTTCTGCTCCACATAGAATCAGACTTTTCCCCCATGAGCCGTGGTTCCTTTGAATGGGAAAAGAAATTGTGGGGGTAATAGCAGTTTGGACCCTGTGCTATGGACTGTTGTTCCTGGACCATTTCAGTGAACAAAGCAAGAATACATAGATATTCTTATTTATTTTTCTTGTTAAGGCATGAGTTCACATAAGTATTTCCACTCCTATCTTCCAATCTAAATTTCTGATTCTATAGTTGTGCTTTCCTTACCAATCCTAATGTCTAACAGATTACACAGTCACTCATTTGTTTACTGACAGCACAGTAATAGCTCTAATGAAATTACTTAATATAAATACAAACAATAAAACTACAGAATACTGTTCAGTTTTTCTCTGCAGTTCCATTTTGTTTTTAACTGCAGTTCACTAAGGATTTTTAGCCCAAATAATTTTTTCCCAGAGTTGCTCATTTGCTTTCCCTCTGAATAACTTGTAAATGCAAATACCATAGAGAATTTGGCTCCATTGTTATCAGTTTGGTTTGGGGTGTTAGCATATTAATGACAATAATTCTCAGAAGGTGGAACTTTCAGCTACTAGGAAAGACAAGGGTCCACTCAATTTTTTGATGAAGAAAGAACTCAGGTTGCTGTCTCCAAATATCTGTACAATGGTTTCATATCACCACCATCTGATGTACTTGATTTCTGACCAAGGAAACCAATTCTTTCTGCAATTATTTAATTTCCAGTAGTATTAGAATTCACTTTTCTTTTTAAGTATAGTTGATATACAATCTTATATTGGTTTCAAGTGCAGCACAGTGGTTCACCAGCTACCCATATTACCCAGATTGGGGAAGTTTTCAGCAATTATTTCTTCAAAGAGACTTTCTACCCCTTTTTCTTCTGGTACCCCTATTATGCAAATATTGTTTTGTTTGGAGTTGTCTCTTAGCATCCTCTCATTTTTAGAGATTCTTTTTTCTCTCAGTTCATCAGGATCATTGTTTTCCTCCTCTCTAATTTCCATCTCATGGATGATTTTTCTATACTTGCAGCAATCTGTTATTCATTCTCTTCATTGTATATTTCATCTCAGTTACTGTGTTCTTTAGATCTGAACTCTTTAAAACTCTTATCTTTGTTGAAGTTCTCCCTGAGATCTTCAGTACTTTTCTGGAGATCAGTGAGCATATTTACGACTGTTACTTTGAAATCTTTATCAAGAAGATCAGTGATTCTGTTTCATTTAGCCCTCCTTCTGGTGTCTTCTCCTGTACTTTTGTTTGGAACATATTTCTCTGCCTCCTCATTTTGTCAGGGTTCTGTGTTTCTGCCTTTGCATTAGATGGATCCGCTATGCTTCCAGGTCTGGGGAGTAATGGCTCTATGAAGAAGAGGTCATGTGGTGCCCAGCTGCTCTTAGTGGGCTTTGGGTGGGATCGCCTTTCTGTCTGTCTGCTCCAGTGGTCTATCTCAGGGTGCCACAAATGGCAGTTTACCTCAGCTGGCCCTTTGGCAGCCCAGCAGAAACACTTGTGCTGGAATCTTTGTGGGCAGAGCTGTGCTCTGCCTGCTCTGCAGTGATGGGGGAGCTGTTGGGCTAATGGGATAGGCAGGGTAGGTGCATGGTGGCAGGTCATGTGGCCAGAGCCCAGTGTCAGGGCTGGGCCACCAGCAAGGAGGAAGGAGTGCTCTGAGCTGGCTTCCAAGCTGTGCCTTCCCAGTTGGGCTGAGATAAGGCCCAGAAAGCTGGGAACGCCTCCCTCTGCCTGTCAGGCAGCAAACTGTGACACACTGGGCTGAGTGGGCAGGGCGGGCTGGGAGGCAAGTGTGCAGGGAAGTGCCTCGGTGATGAGCTGCCAGTGAGGGGAATGGGGCTTTTGTGGCTCCTGCAAGTACCCAACCAGTTGGGCTGATGGAAGCTGGGAAAATGTCATTCACCTGCCCTTTTTCCGGTGGAGAAAGCTCCATCCAACTCTCATCTCTCTGTACCCTTCCTGTTGCCAGTAAATCTTTCAAACTGCCATGTCTGTTTTGGGTCTCAGAGGGACTGCTGGAGCGCGCTGGTCCTCCACAAGCAGCAGGAGTCTCAGCCTCCAAGAGCGCCGCAGCCCTCCCTGGTGTCCAGTCCCGTTAATCACCAAAGCCTGATGCAGTGTGAACTCGTGTTCCCAGAGCAGATCTCCAGGGCCAGGTGTGCAGAGTTCCTGGGTTCCCATCCCCTCTCAGCTCTGTTCTTCTCCCTCCCACTTGTGGACTGGGATGAGGGGAGGGTTGGGGCTCCCACTGACCATGACTCTGCCACCTTCCCCTTCTGTGTGGTCTTCTCTTCTTCCCCAGGTGTAGGTGGTCTGTTCTGCTTTCTTCAGGTCATTTTTAGGGTTAGTTGTATTGCTGTAGTTTCTTCTTTGGTGTATGTGTGGGAGGAGGTTTCTGCCTTGCCTTCCAACTCCACCATCTTTTTTCCCCTCTCCCACTTATTTTTGAATATTCAATTTTTAAAGCTCTGTCACTTTTTTCAAATCATGTTCTAATTTTTATTTTTTTAATTTTATCTTGCTCACCCTTCTGAGCTTTGCATGATTACACCAAGGTTTATATTATATAAATTCACATTCTCACAATATTACCTTTTCTTAGTACCAAAGTCTTCTATTTATCTGCAGGGCAGTTAAAGATATTTCCATATAATTTACCAAAAAAACACAAAATTTATATTACATATAAATTCTAATGTAGGCTCTTGAAGTTTTGCCTGAAGTCCTTTTTTGATTTACAGGTAAAATTTGGCTTTATTTCATATAATATTATTAGTAAACTTTATTTAATTATAAATAAATCTAATGTAGAACTCCTATCTCTCACAGGCTGTTGAGTAAATATAAGCATGTATGATATAGAAATTCAAACTTCCCAAAGCAAATTAAGAATATTATAAAATAAATTTATAACTGACATATAATCTAATAGAATCCAATTAAATTTTAAATCAATACATAGAAAATGAGTTAGATTTTATACCTTGCAAACATTTATAGAACAAGTAGAAACTTTTTTCTATGGACATACTACTTCATAGTAAGGGGTGTTTGGTGGAAAAAGGATAGTTTTCCTATTCAAATGAGTTTTGAAAGGCTAGATACAAAGGTTGGCACCAACTGCAGTGTTTCAAATGTAGGAATGTTTCAAATGTAGGAAAAAAGGCCTGCAGGTTCACAATCATTAATGTTACTACCAACCCACCTCCCCCACCATCACCAAGCTACTTATTTTCTTGGAATGTTATAAGAGCCAGTATTCCTGAGACTTGCCAGTCTAAATTCAAATAAGGAGAATTGCAATATTTGGAGTTTCTTTTGAGCACTAAATGTGGCTGTAAAAATTAAATATACACTATGAAAACCAATCAACTTAGCAATGCATTGTTATTATTGCATCTTTTTCTCTATTCATTACTGCCCCTTTTTGACTATCAAGACATCCAGAAGGAAAAATAACTCGGGTCATTGAAAGAAATATATGCACAGATTGAGTTGTTTTTTAATTACGATGGTCATTTTTTTTAGGATTTTAGAGAGTCTTGGCAGTAGTTCAAGTAGTGATTATGTTTTAAATTACTGTTTTTCCTTGAGGAATCTACCCTTATGACTCAAAACAGAATTCTCTCAGGATAGAACTGTATGCATTAATTTCAACCTATACTTTTTCAGCTCTTCATAAATCTTCCCATTCTCCAAATGACCTGGGGGCTAATGGCTCCATAT